ATTTTGCACTTATTTTTAGAAGAGAGGCAAATAATAGTTGGGCCAGAATTGTGTTTATTCAATTAACTAATAAAATAAGAGCAAAAGGATGGAATATTGCAAAGCAGTGCTTTGGGCGGGTAGTCATGATGTTTGCCTCCTTGGGGAACCCTGTTTGGGTGGAAAGGTGGCATACAAACATACAGCTCAATGAGACAAGTGAATTATAAATCAGTATTAACAAAGGTATATTCCATGAGACAAGGGCACTAGAAATCATCATAATTTCTGGCTGTAACCAAACTGCTAACCCCATCTCTTCATGTAAACAGTTCTGTCAGTTTAACATCCTAAGTTTACTATTTATAGAAAATTCCAAATGTTCACTATGTTCCTTCTGGAGGGTCCATCATGCTACCCAGACTCAACCCAGTAAAAAAACCCAGAAACAAAATTCATCACTTGCCTGCTGAAAAAGGTCACAGGGCAGGCAGGCCCCAGAAGGTGTAGGCAGGTGGGCTCCAGAGCACCTCAGGGCTGGTGGGCCGGCAGCTAAGACAGGAGGTGGGCTGGAGAGCTGACAAAGGCAGAGGGTAGAGGGCGGGCACCTGTCAAAGGCAAGAGATCAGCGAGCAATAAAAAAGACATTGAAGCAGCCTCTAGAAACTTTGATGCCTGCTGATATCATCAGTGGGTGTGATCTTAGCTTCAGGACAGAACAGGCCATGGCTTCTCAATCAGCCTAGCCTAGTCCCAGTAAGGATGGCCAAAACCCTGCTGGTCATAAGAGGTGCTGGTACACTGTGCTGGCACATTTTTGTTGTTGTTCAGTCGCACAGTCGAGTCCGACTCTTCGCGACCCCATGGACCAGATCACGCCAGGCCCTCCTGTCTTCTGCCGTCCTCTGAAGTTGGCTCAATTTCATGTTCGTTGCATCTATGACACTGTCTAACCATCTCATCCTTTGCCGTCCCCGTCTTCTTTAACCTTCAATCTTTCCCAGCATCAGGGTCTTCTCCAGTGAGGGCTCCCTTCTCATTTGGTGGCCAAAGTATTTGAGCCTCAGTTTCATTATCTGGCCTTCCAGGGAACAGTCAGGGTTGATTTCTTTTAGGATTGACTGATTTGAACTTCTTGCAGTCCAAGGGACTCTCAAGAGTCTTCTCCAGCACCATAGTTCAAAAGAATCTATTCTTCGGCGCTCGGCCTTCCTTATAGTCCAACTCTTGCACATACTGACACAAAAAAGGCCCTGCTGCAAAGCATGGTATCTGCCACTGTGTTAGCACAGTTTCTCTCTGAATAACACAGTAATCTAGTGATGTCTTGGACAGTCAGCAGTCAACATTAGGGCAGGAGCTTTAGGGGTGGGGGACCTGGGAGGCACACAGCATTGTGTCTGTCATGATGTCACTTCTGGGGGGAAACCAAAAGTGACATCATCACCCAGAGGCAATTCCTAGAGCTGTGTGATCACTTCTGGGTTTTCCTCAAAAGAGATGTCACGGCATACTCAACACCGTTTTTTGGCTTTTCTAATTTTCCCATTGCTGAGCAACAGGGGGTGGTGGCACAAGGCATCCTGCCATAGTGGAAGACTTGGCAACGTGAATCATGATGCACTGTAGATCAGAAAAACAATTTCCTTGATCATTTGGATACTTGGTATTGGAGATAAAAAGGACTGAGACATTCTCTGCCTAAGTATAAATACAACTCCTTTTCACTTAAGCACACAACGTTTTAGCCGTTATTTGTTGTTATAGTATGAAATTGCTTCTATTATTTATTATCAAGCCAGTTGAAATGTTCAGCGGGACATGTGGCACAATCTGTATCCACGTGGGAGATGTGATAGCTTGAAAGTTCCTTCACATCAAAATCTCCTTGCATGTGCAGTACTATTTTTGACCATGTGCTGAAACAATTATATTGTTGGGGTGGATCCAGCCACTCTTCTTAGCAGAATTTGAAGCCTTCCTCCAGCCTAACGAGCCTTCCTCCAAAGATGCCCTTAAGTTGGAGAAAGGCTCCTTAGTACCTCACTGGGTGGTTGTTGTGAGGATAATATAGAGAATGACGTTGTAACAGGCCCGTAGCTAACAACGTCTTGCTCAGGGGGCTCATGTTTTTCTCAGGGGGCCCACCTGTTCCCTCTAAGCTGAGTTAGTGTGAGCTAGCTCACAGTTTCTCAGCCTTCAGCTCACAGATTTTTGTCTTCGCTCAGGAAGGATGACTCCAGAGCCTACTAATTTATGTAGTAGCCCAATGGCTCGCTCACAAATTTCATGCCAGTAGCTCACAGAGTAGAATTTTTGCTCACAGGACTCCACAGCTTAGAGGGAACATTGCGACCACCAATGTTCCCTCTAAGCTGTGGAGTTTTGTGAGCAAAACTTCTAGTTTGTGAGCTACTGCCATTAAAGTTGTGAGAGAGCAATTTGGCTGCTGCATAAATCAGTTTGCTCTGGAGCCATCCTTCCTGAGCGAAGACAAAAATCTGTGAGCTGGTGGAGCTCACAGTAACTCAGCTGAGAGGGAACACTGGAGGTACTAGGTATTTTTTTAATTGTACCTTTAAAAGGGATGTTGGGGGCATCTCTCCAGGCCAGGGCAGGGAGGCTGCCGCGATGAACGGGAGCGGGGGGGGCAGGAGTAGGGAACCCCGAGGGAGACGGCAGATTTGGCGGGGGGGGGGGGAGAGAAAAACTGGCTAACATGCCAGGCATGCGAGGGAACCGATCGGCAGGAAGGACTCCTTTCTGGCCCTCCCTACGACCACCGCGGCTGAGAACGCATTTTTTATTTTATCCTGATTTACCAAATGCAGACACCCCCCCACCTCTCTCTGCCGCCTCGAGGGTCACCCAGGCGGACTGCAAAGTAAAACACAGAGAAGAAAATTGCAGTGCAAAAGTCTCCCTAACCACCCCGCCCCGCCCACTATGTGAGCATTCCTCTCTTCCAGGAACGAAAAGCTTACTCCCTCCCCCATGACCTACTTGTGAGTAAGCCCAGGATCTGGCTGCAAAGGATTCCCCTGCAGTTGCTGATCTGCAGCCTCCATCCTCCTTCGCCATTCATCACCCCCCCTTCCCTTTCTTCCTCCCCCCTCCCAGTTCGGCCTGTCTAGCAAGCAGCTCTTTTTTGGCTTAACCCCTTCAGTGCTGCAGACCGATGGAGAGAAAAGGCTGAGTGTCCTTTTGCAGACCCGGACTTCAGCCAGGCTGCCCTCAGCAACGTCCTGCGATACTCAGCTCAGTGTAGGGCTGCTCTGGCCGACCTCCAAGGAGGGGGGGAGGGGGGAGGGAGTAGGAGGGGGGAAGGCCTGCCGTGATCTGGGCCATGGTCGCAAAGAGTCGGACTTGGACTCGACTGTGCGACTGAACATTTTAAAAAAAAACCTACATGGAATGGAAGGCAGCCAGCCAGCAAGCCCGGATGGCGCGCGGTCCCTCCGAGCCTCTTCCCCAGAGTGGCGCTTGTAGTCCGAGACGAGGGCGGCTGGCCGGTGCTTCCTAACACACACCCCACCCCCCGCCTTGCTTCTCAACATTGCAGCAGCGCTCAGCGCCCCCTTGAAGTCCCACACAGCGCTGCCAGCTCCCGCGGTTTAGGAAGTGCCGGCCAGCCGCCCTCGGACTAGAAGCGCCGGCGCCGCTCTGGGGGAGAGGCTCGGAGGGACCGCGCGCCGTCCGGACTTGCTGGCTGCCAGCGCCGAGTCCCGACTCCCGCCCCGTCTTCCCTCCGATGGGCGCCACCTCCCCTCCCTCCCGCGAGGCCATGGGGGAAGCAGAGGATCAGGGGAGGGGGCCGGGCCCCCAGGGCCCCACGCGGCCTACGGGCCTGCGTTGTAAGCTTCTTTGGATCCCCATTGGTGAGAAAAGTGGAACATGAATGTCTAAGTAAATCATGCAGATCCAAGGAGGACCCCAGGAAAAATGAAATAGCAACCCTAGGCCTGCCAAGTGCCTGCTGGGGGCAGGGGAGCTCACGTTCTCTGTTGTCTGCTCTTGCTCTGGTGACCGTGGGGGGGGGAGGTGCAATAATAGCGTTTGATGACCACACAACATCATATCCGGTTGGAAGTGATGTGGCTGCATTGCAGGATGTAGTTTGGGTGAGTCTCTCCCCCCTGTCCCATCTCCTAATAGCAGCAAGCCGAACACCAAATATTGAACTTTCTCCTTTAACATTCTCTTTTTGCATCACTTTATAGAGCTCAACTCCAAGTTGGTCTTTTGTTGTTGTTGTTTCATTGTTAGTTGTATCTTAAGACTAGGGCATTTTATTATTTAGATAGATTTCTTCAGGGGACTTGACTGTAAGAAGTTGTCATGAGCAACAGAATTAAACTGTGGCTCTTTCTAAGCCTAGGGGGAGAAGAAGTTTATAAACTGTGCCCCATCTAGCTGGGATAGATTTTCTATTTCTTGGAAACATCTAAATGATCTCCAAAGGCAACTATTTTGTGTTATTTTCTCACTAATTCTCGTAACAACTAATTCTTACTGTCATATTATAAACTGGAGGGCTGAGTGGAGGGAGAATGATTTGCCCAAGACCATCCAGTGAGTGGATGGCTGACATGAAAACCAAATGGGAGACTGTCTGGTGCATGCATTTATTCCGATACCGCAAAGATATTATAAAAGCCAGTGACGCCTTAAGTAGGTCTAGAAGAATTAGGCTTATTGTTGCTACCTGTCTTTAAATATTAGTGTTAAATTTGCATCTCATAGGAGGAGACGGACTTTTCTAACATTGTACATAGACTTTCTTAATTTGTAACCTTTGATCTTGTATGGATTACAGACTTCGGATTGTTATCGGTCCTTGAGATGACATAAACAGGAAGATGTAACCCATGTGCTTTATACTTAGCAAAATGACAACTGTTCTTATGAGCCTTCCTCTTCACTAGTTTTGCCACATGAAAACCAAATACTTTTGTCCTCATAACTGGCTCTTGTACTTAGATAATGTTGCCTTTGTTTCCCCCCCCCCCTTTTCTGCTTAGGTTGCTTTGAATGTTGCATTAAGTGCCTGGGAGGAGTCCCATATGCTTCACTTGTGGCTACTATTCTTTGCTTCTCTGGGGTAGCCTTGTTCTGCGGCTGCGGTCATGTTGCTCTTGCTGGGACCATCACTATCCTCGAACAGCGCTTCTCCACAAATGCCACTGATCATGCTTTGTTGTCTGAAGTGTGAGTATGAATCCGCTTCCTTTCCTTCACGTACCAAGTGTATCCAGATGGCTGATAAAACACAATTGTCAGAGATGAGAACACACATGCACACAAGTTCAGTGTACCAGAAGCTAGGAGCTGCTGGTGAAATGCTTGGTAAATTGTAGAGTTCATCTTAGGCAAGCTATTAGAGGAGTCTCTAGAGAGGTTCTTAAAAATGTGGTTCGATGAAGGAAGTTTGTCAAGATGGGAAGGAACTGGGTTTGCACATATCTCCCAGAAGTCTTTTGATAGAGATTCAACATATACTTCTACTTCAAAAGGCTTGTCTAATGTGACAAAACCAAACAAAACCAAGAGTAGTAATAAATCTCCAGGAGAGCAGAGTTATTACAGCTCCATAGCAACTGGAGGCTGAAAAGTAGCTGTTGCCAGGAGATAGGAGGCTCCTAAAAATATATTTAAGTACACAGGAAAGCAATACTGCCAAATCTAAGAATAATAATAATAAATCCCTATTAACCACTTGCACATGAGGCAGTCCTCAAAAACATGTGAAATTTCATATGCACAGAATCCTAGCCATGGCTTAGAACCTAAACCAATGTGGCATAGTAGCTAAGAGTGTCAGGCTAGTATCTGAGAGATGCTGGTTCAAAACCCCGTTTGTGCCATGGAAGCTCACTGGATGATCATGGGCCAGTCACACTGTCTCAGCCTAACCTACTTCCCACGGTTCCTGTTGTAGGGATAAAATGGAGGAGAGGAGAATGATGTAAGCTGCTTTGGGTCCCCATTGGGGAGGAAGGTGGGGTATAAATGAATTAAATAAATAGTAAATAAATAAGGTAGGGCAGATGTATAATGGATGAAAAGTGAGAGGAGGGTGTCCTGTGTCTGAAAATAAGCGCTGAAGCTGGGACCCTCTGCATGCATGTATTCTACCAATGAGCCACGGCCTCTCCTAACATCCTCCCACCTTCCCTGAAAAGGCAGTGTAGTGATTTATGTATTTATTTTATTGTATTTATACTCCGCCCTCTTAATCCTGTCCTGTTTTGCAGATCTGGTCCTATTTTTCTCTCCCTATCTCAGAAGTGTGGCTAGACACTTCAGTAGCAAAACTAGCTATATCTAAGTTGGAGGCATCTAGTCCTTTTATGGGCACAAGCCCCAAACCATATGGCTGTAGTAGAGATGGGACTATAAAGATTTCCCCCTTTTTTGATTATTCATATTTCTCTGGTTTTTATAGATTTATTCTTAAGTATAGGATATTAGAAAGGCCTGTTATATAGACGGCTTTCCTCTGGTAGGTCTGATATTGTTAGCAGACAACATAATAGGTACAGAGTTCATGATTCTGTAGTTCTTAGGGCAAAATGTCTGGGTCAGATAAGATTTTAGTCTCGTATCAGTAATGAATACTTTTGTTTGGGATATGAAGAATCCTTGCCCATTATCATTTAGGTTAGGTTAAGTAAACACTTAGTTTGATGTAGATATATGTTTATCTGGCCAATCAGAGGATTATTACTCAAATTGGCACTGTCTTTTGTAACCAATTATGCTTTTTGAATATTGTTTTCTTGATGATGTCAGTCCATGTATAAAATATCATGTATTTCCTGAATATGTTCAGAATATGTTCAAGAAGAAGAAGATGAAGAAGAAAAAGAAGAAAGTTGTCAATTTTTGATTAGTTACTTGGTCCAATTGTTTTTCCTGTTAATTGAAGCATATTTCCTGAATATGCTGAGAAGAAAGTAGTCAATTTTGGATGGACTATTTGGTCCAATTGTTTTTCTGTTAATTGAAATAAAACATAGATCTTCCTCCTCATTTGACTTCATTGTTGACATGGAATCTAATATGTACAACATGGCTGCTATACGGACGCTGATAGTGAAAGATGCAAGACCAAATGTCAGCATCAGACCTTGGGTGGGAAACCACAAGTGGCTGCATGTAAGGCTAATAAATTCCAGAAGTCTGCAGCCAAGGAATTTTCTGGTTAGTTCAGTCAGGAGATTCAGCTCCTAGTTCACTGGTTTCCTGCTTTTGGAGTCTGGTTAGATCACAGTGCTACAGAAGCCACAGCATACAAAATCCCCCAGTTCTTAAAGGACCAACAGTGTTGTCATTCTGTAAACCTAGCAACCTGTACAACCTGCCTCCTGTTTCCCAGCCTGTCCACTTAATTCCCTCCAATAATGTACAATGTAACTATTCTTAGGCTCCAATATAAATGTTCACCTCAATCTTATTTTCTTTATGACCCCTCAACTCAACTGAGGTCCCTGTTTCCCAGCTCACTGTCTACTTCATTCCACTTTCTTCAGCCAGCCTGTCTCTTGGCAAGACTTCTCTAGTTCATCTTCCGTCTTCTCATGCTGCCAGACACTGGGACTGTGCCTGTGCAGGCCAGCTGTGGACATTTTCTTTCTACCTTAAAAACTCCAAAGAGGGGGCACCCCACCCCTTTTAAAGCTGGTGCATGTGTGGGTTTCCCACCCAATGGGTGCGTTCAGACGGGGCGTTTCAGCCGGCATCACCCCCAAATTTTGGAGGAGCATGACTCAAATACAAGGGGATATACAGAGGCCTGCTCCACACTGGCTCCAATCAAGTCCCTGTACCATGAGCCTGAAGAAGAGGTCTCCGCAGCATCTCATTATAGTTCTGAGAGTGCCTTGGACCCATCATCCAATGATACTGTGGGTGACCTGATCTGACTCCGGTATCCCCAAGTGAAGACCTCTGTCTCTACAGAGAACAGATGCTGAAAATGACAAAAACCCTTGATATCGATGTCTCCACTTCAGACAACCATCTGAAGGACAGAATTTTGAGTTGGCTCTATTCCAGGGATAGTTGGAGACCCTATCTGACCTCACAGTTCCAATCTGGCAGAAACCAGCCTCCATTCAAGCCACACCTCATAAGATCAAGAATTTATACAGAGTAAAGCAGGACTGTTGCAAGTTTCTGTCCACACACCCACCACCATCCTCATTGGTCCTGGAAGACATACAGGCATGCCAACGACCCAGCCAGCATTCATCCCAAGCAGACAGGGAAAGCCATTGTCTGGACACTTTGGGGACGAAGTTTTATACTTCATTCACTCTCAACATTTCCTCTGAGAGAGTCTTTCCCAGCACTTAGAAAAATTACGTGATGAATCCAAGTCCCTGGCTAACCTTATTCAGTCCAAGGTGATTAAACGTTTGAAACAGGATATTAAAGTGGGCAGGCATGCCACAGATGCATTGGCTAGATCGATGGCCTCTGCTATAGTTCTCCAGAGGCACTCATGGCTATGCAACACTGCTCTTCCTCTAGAAACTTGCTGTAAAGTGGAGCATCTCCCCTTTGAAGGATCAATTCTTTTTTCACAGTCCACTGGTGAGTTCCTCTCCCCTGTGAAGAACCACCAGGCAGCCAGATCGTTGAGCGTGTTCTCCTCAGCTCTAATCCAGAGACAATATTTCTCTCAAAGGCAACACGGCTTTGCTACCACCTTCTACAGGGGCCAGAGGCAACAACGGCCATCGTTCATGTATCCTTAGAGCCCATTCCAGTAGCCCCCTTTTTCAAAAAGAAAGGATACGTCGCAGTTGAGGCCTCCTCAACAGAACCACCAAAGGGATCAAAGCCAACAGCCAGCAAAGTTCTGACTATCTACCCCAGTAGTTGCTGGTATTTTCAGTTTCAAGGATAGGGTGGCATAATTTTTAGAGTTTTGGCACCAGATTAGTTTAGAAGGTTAAAGGTTAGAGTTTTTATTAGGGGTCTGCAAAACAAATTCTGTATTTTTTCCGATTTGAGTCTACTGAACCTGAAAAATATCGGTATTGCTGAATATTCCCAAATCCCAATATTGGTATTGTATTGGAATTCGGGTAAATATTTGGGAAACCTGAATTTATTCAGCTCCATTATATCCTATGGGGATCATCCCAATAGGGTATAATGGAGTTCAGAAGGCATTTAAAATTTAAATGCCTTCCGAGTTCCCAAACAGTGGTGTGGGTGAGGCATCCGCTGTTAGGTTGCCATGGCCGGAAGCCAATTGGTAAAGCACTGGCTGAGGTTCCTCCCCCCCCCTTTCCGGGGGGGGGGGAGCGAAAGGGATAGTTGAACTGGCTTTTAGCCATTTAAATCTAACAGCAGGGCAGGTGAGCCCATCCACTGTTAGGCTGACATGGCTGGAAGCCAATTCTTCGATCCTTTTCACTCCCCTCCCCCCCGCTTCCAAGAAAAGAAAGAAAATGTCCGAGGCCAGCCTGTGCAGGCACAGTCCCAATGTATGTCTGCACAGAAGACGTTGATGAACAGCAGCTATAGGTAAGTGCAACTCTGTTAACGCCTGCTTTATTCTTCCCGTGGCATCTGACCCTCACTGACCAGAACCACTGAAGCATCATCAGAGCTTCATTTTGCCCCTCACTGAACATGTGCTGACAGAATGGCTTTGTGGACAATTTGGGACAGTCCCAGCAGCTCAGCCAGTGTCAGAAGCTTCACCTGCACAAACATGATACAAAATAGATTTTTTAAAAACTCAGATCATACACACAGTCATTTTGTAAGAATGAGATTTGAGCATCATGGTCCTTTGTTAAAATAATTTATTGGTATATTAGTCCTCTTCCTGTTTACCTCTCCAGATAGTTATATAACAAACTCTACAATTCTGATGCAGCAAATTTAGATTACCTGTTTTGTTTTCCTTCTCAGAATAAAGTTAATGCAGTATGTGATCTATGGCATTGCATCATTTTTCTTCTTATATGGAATCATTCTGTTGGCGGAGGGATTTTATACAACAAGTGCTGTAAAGGAGCTGCATGGTGAATTCAAGACAACGATATGTGGCCGTTGCATCAGTGGAATGGTGAGTACGATGCCATCATCTTGATTGCCCCAGTCTTTCAAGCCAAAACTATCCTTTGTGTAACTGCAAAGTGGCCCCAGAGGCTCATAGGAGCCAATGCATGATAAACTTGAGTAATAATAACAGTAGTAGTAGTAGTAGTAGTAGTAGTAGTAGTAGTAGTAGTAGTAGTAGTAGTAGTAGTAGTAGTAGTTCTTCTTCGTTTTCCTATAAATCGCTACCTTAAGGTGGCTGGTAGAAAAATGGCTTTTCAAGGCAGCCCTTAGTTCAAATAACATGTTCTTGGTTCACAATCCAGAATTCACTGGACTCTGAAAGTCATCAGTCAAAGGGTTGTGTTCAGTTAATTGGATGGCACTGATTTTCATGTCCAGCATCATTGTAAGGAGTGAGTTCTTTGTTCTGCACTTGGGGATGAGAGTGTTACTCTCATGATTCACATGATGATCCATAATTTCTTCCTAACCCAACCATACAAAATGGCTGTAAAAGAAAGACAGCTGTCATGAAGAAGAGAAGAAGAAGAGATTGGATTTATACCCCACCCTTTACTCGGAGTCTCAAAGCGGCTTACAAACTCCTTTCCCTTCCCCTCGCCACAACAGACACCCGGTGAGGTAGGTGGGGCTGAGAGAGCTCTTTCAAGAATTGCCCTTTCAAGGACAGCTCTTGTCAAAAGACAAGAGTCATCCAGCAGCTGTGAGTAGAGGAGTGAGGAATCAAACCTGGTTCTCTCAGATTAGGGTCCGCACACTTAACCACTACACCAAACTGGCTCTGTGATAACTCTAACCAGTTTCTCAGTAATGGAGTCAAGCTAGCAGGTAATCCTATCAAGCACCTCTCCTGAGAAGGCTATCACTTAGCCACATGAATTCCTCTGGAAAATGCTTCTGTTCCCTGTCTCTGAATTGTGCAGTTTTTTTCCCCTTCATCGCCCTACTCTGTGAAAGACCTCTTCCTGAAATCCTGGAGAGTGGCTGCCAGTCTGTGTAGACAATACTGACCTTGATGGACCTCTGGTCCGCTTCAGTAAGGCAGCTTCAGGTGCTCTTGTACGTTCTCCCTCAATTCTGCATGCTTTCCAAACTCCTCTAAAGCATCACAGTGCATAAATATATCCCAGGTTTCTGTCCTCTCCTTACTCAACAGATCCATTCTCTGCTTATTGTTCAATAACTCCAGGGTACCATCCTTTCTTCTTTGAGTGTTTTTTCTCGACTTCTGCCAGGAGGAAAAAATAGTCACCATAGTGAAATTATGAAATAAATGAATGTTTCCTCCTTTTGGCCACATATCAGAGAGCCAGTTTGGTGTCATGATTAAGAGTGGTAGGACTCTAATCTGGAGAACCGTGTTTGATTCCCCACTCCTCCACGTGAAGCCAGCTGAGTGATCTTGGGTCAGTCACAGTTCCCTCAGAACTCTCTCAGCCTCACCTACCTCACAGGATGTCTGTTGTGGGGAGAGGAAGGGGAAGGAGATTGTAAGCCTTTCTGAGACTCCTTTGGGTGGTGAGAAGTGGGGTATAAAACAACCTCCACTTCCTCCTCCTCCTCCTCCTTCTACATGACACTTGTTCTGAATAGCCAAAGAAATTGTTGATCTTCTCCAACTTTCCCCTTATTACATTCAGCCTGGGTAAAGGGAAGGATTCAGTGTCAGTTGCAAACTCAACTGGTACATGGGTTGGATTCTTCAGTAAGCCTGTGGCAGATAAATGCCATAGTCATCTGCCTGAATGCTGAAATGTTGGTTAGGCTTGCAATTATTTTAATGTTTAGGAAGCAGGCACAGAAATAGACTGACTTGTCAAATTCCTATAAGTGTGGCGCAGTTGAAACCTTTAAAGGCACAGTCTTAAAAGTTAATGTGCATTGATTTTAAAAAATTCAAAAGAATATGTATGGTTCCCACCCACATTTTTAGGCACATATTGTCAAAAACCAAGGACTAGAATCAGACATTCAGAAGCAGCTTTTTACTACCCATTTGTATATTGTGTAGATAAAATAATGCAGCTGATATTGCTGCCAGAGACATGTTGGTGAAAAAAGCATTTTGATATTGTTCTGTCACATCTTCAACAACCTTAATTTTCAAGGAATAAAATATGCTTAGTTCTATGTGTGACAGCTAATGAGGTCTTTGAGTAAAACTTCATTAAAATATAAAAAGGTCATTAAAATATCAGTGCTTTAGTAGCTAAGTAGTTGCTTACCATATAATGTTTTCTTTCCCTTCATAAAATATGTAATTCAGAAAAAGCAGATTACTTCTGACTGCTATATTCTTATTAGACCAAGTCTCTGTGTGGATATGATTGCATATACCCAACTTTGTGCAACATAGCTATGTGTAAATGTTTGCTAGTACTAATCTCTAAACTCATTGTGTGGTGCTTGTTCGGGATATTTTACTCCATATATCCTTTCCCTAGTGGTTGTGTAGCTGAGGGCCTTGGAATTAGATCCCACTGGAATCTTTGTGCTTGGAAGATTGAAAGCTTGTAAACCAAACAGCCAGGATTAGATCACATCCCTGACCCAAGATAACTTTTATAGAAAGATTTAGAGTTTAGAGATTTAGAGAAAGATTACCAATTTGTAATCCTTGTCCCAGAGCCTCAAAATGCTCATTTTTTGTTCAGAAGCCTCATAAGAACATAAGAGATGCCAATGTTGGATCAGGCCAAAGGCCCATCCAGTCCAACACTCTGTATCCCACAGTGGCCAGAAATACCAGTGCCATCAGGAGGTCCACCAGTGGGGCCAGGACATTAGAAGCCCTCCCACTGTTGACCCCCCCCCCAAGCACCAAGATGACAGAGCATCACTTGCCCCAGAGTCCCTATCTATACCTTGTGGCTAATAGCCACTGATGGACCTCTGCTCCATATGCTTATCTAATTCCCTTTTGAAGCCGTCCATGCTTGTAGCTGCCACCACTTCCTGTGGCAGTGAATTCCAAGTGTTAATCACTCTTTGGGTGAAGAAGTACTTCCTTTTATCCGTTCTAACCCGACTGCTCAGCAATTTCATGTAGTGCCCACGAGTTCTTGTATTGTGAGAAAGGGAGAAAAGTACCTCTTTCTCTACCTGCTCTTTCCCATGCATAATCTTATAAACCTCAATCATGTCACCCCTCAGTCGTCGTTTCTCCAAGCTAAAGAGCCCTAAGCGCCTTAACCTTTCCTCATAGGGAAAGTGTTCCAACCCTTTTATCATTCGAGTTGCTCTTTTCTGCACTTTTTCCAAAGCTATAATATCCTTTTTAAGGTGTGGTGACCAGAATTGCACACAGTATTCCAGATGAGGTCGCACCATTGATTTATATAGCGGCATTATGACACACATACCCTCTTTCACTTGGATTGAAGCTACTCAGAGCATATCAGTAGGGTCATCTATTTGGCTTCAACAGGAATTGGGGAGTTAACACAAATGCATATTTAGGTAGCTTGTAAAACAGCCACAGCTCATCACCACATGGGAGCCTCAGCCATGAAGCATCAGTTCCAGCAACAAAGTGTTCACGAACAAGATAAGAGCCAGGTGAGGGCCAAACTAGATATGCTTATTTTTAAAGTGTTTGGTCTGCGTTTCCAACCCCAATTCAATTCTCTATGGCAGGGAGATGGGGGAAAGAGGGAGGGGACTGAGGCCAGGATTTACTGCACTGAATCCTATTTTCATAAACAAAGCACAGTTAAAAAGAAATTTCATCTTATGCTTGAATCAACAGTTGACGTCTTCTTCTTCTCCACACTGACAGTGGTGCTGACCTGGTTATATGGTAAGATAGGGAGGATATCAGGATGTAGAAAGTCCTAACTAACATTTTCAGAACTGTACTGTTTCACATGCAGGGTAAGCTGAGGTTTCTTAAGCACTAGGGAACATTTTAGGACAAGCTGTCCCTGTACAAAAGATATGGGCTTCACTCAAACTGCAGTGGAAACAAGATTACTCACAATTGTGATCAAAAATACTGCAGAGCAGCTTTTAAACTGATATCTGGGGGAAAGCCGACAAGAATGGAAGAGAATCCAGTTTGAGATTACCCACCCCTAAGGAATGATGGTCTAAATGATTAGGGTATCGTAAAGGAATAAAGTAGAATTTGGCAATTAGTTTACCAAAAGAAATGACAGTCCTTTGAAGAAACCAATGGGTTTCTTCATAAAAATTGCACATAAAAAGGATATTTGTAGAGGGATAAAAGATATTGGTATTTTGTATGCTGTGTCTGTCTGTGTATGAGATTTTTACCTTGTCCTTCCTCTGAAGAGCTTAGGTCATGGTTCTCCACACCCTGTCTCGTCATCACAACAATCCTGTGATGATCATTGGCATAACAAACCACAACTTCACACAAATATATTGATTGGACCCAGGGGTCTTTTGTAGAAAAAGCCCAGCAGGAACTCATTAGCATAATAGGCCACACCCAACAGCAAAATTCATTAGCATATTAGGCCACACCCTGACAGCACTGCTCATTAGCACAAAATAGGCCACACCCCCATGTTACCAGAAGTGTGGTCATCCAGCCACACCCACCTTTCCCTTCTTATTCTGTTTACCTTGTTTGTTATCAAAACCCAGGGCTTCTTTTGTAGCAGGAACTCCTTTGCATGTTAGGCCACACACGGCTACTGTAGCCAATCCTAATGAGTTTCTGCTGTTGGGTGTGGCCTATTGTGCTAATGAGTTCCTGCTGGGCGTGGCCAACTCAGGAGCCAGCCGAAACTCTGTTCCTGTGCGTTCCTGCTTAAAAATAGCCCTGATTGGAACTGAACTGACGGTGACTAAACAGAAAAAGAAATTCGGGCTCACTATGAATAGCTCAATGGAAATGTTTACTCTGTGTGCATCAGCAGTTAAAAGAGGCCATTTTCATTCTAAGGCTTATTATGAAAAAGATTTTTTAAAAATATCTATATAAAATCTTGGGTGCTACTATATTTGAAAAACTGATACTGGAACATGGAACTAAAT